ATGAAAAGCTCTGACCTGTCTACTGGGAATAAAACCTCTATTTTTAAACTCTATGGGGGGAAAACGACAGAAGCTATCCCCCTAGTACAGAATAATACTGTGAAATGTTAGGAAGCTCTATAAAACACAGACCAAGCAATCTGTTTCCCTTAGGCTTTAAAGATCACAGAGGCCCAGACCTCCCAGGTCATCACACTAAAAGCAACGATGTCAAGGCTCTTCCAAACTTAAAACAAGCAAATACAATAGCCCTGCAGATCACTAAGACGGTGTTTTAAATTAGCCATCACAGGGGAAGGGATCTCATCAATTCACATCGAGCTAGAAACGGGGCTGCACTGAGGGCCCTGGAGCAGGGGCTCCAGTCCCATTTTGTTTTTGGAGGGCTGATCCCCTCTAGTCGCTGCCGAGTCTGTTTTGACTCTTGGGAACCGCAGTTATTGCAGAGAAGTGGGTTTCCAGGCCTGGGGCTTTCTGGACGCAGGTGGCCAGGGCTTTCTTTCGTGGCGCTCTAGGTGGGTTCAAGCCACCCATCTTTTGGTCAGGAGTGAAGGTTCCCGGTTTGTGCTACCCAGGGATTCCTTGCCCAGGGGCTTCCAGTGCAATGAACAGGCATAGTGCTTAGAAGGCTTTTCAAAGGAAGCAGACCCGTTAAGCCCAAATTATCTTAGAAATTCCTTCTCCAGATGACCATATGTGTCTGACAGCCCGAGACCACTCACCAGTGACTCCCAGAGGGCGGATTGTGTATTCGTTGATTGTGAAGCCCTTTTCTAGGGCATGCGTTCTCATGTTCTTATTAAAAATATCACTGCCAGTGAAATAGAGCACACCACAGTAATACTGATCCTTGGGTATCAACCTGCAAAAAACAAAAAAAACCTAAATCTTTTAGTACATTTTTCAAATAAGGTAAATATAGGAATCCTCAAATCAGTAGTGCATAAAATGCTTAAGATAAGCCTACGTGGTCCAATAAGCCGAGGAGGAGAGCATCCTTGAGCAAACCATCAGAACCCGCCGGCCGTGCAGCGAGTAAGCTCTGCTCTGCACCCTGTAAGAGTGGGGCGCAGGCAGAGCAGCAGCAGACAGCACACCTGACGCTGTGCATGGCAGACCTGCAGCTGATCCCGACAAGGCACAGAGAATGAGTGGGCCTGTCAACAGCACTGTTCTTTACAGCGTCGGGGCAAGCCCTGCTGACCGCAGGAATGGAACCAAAAAGGGATTCTGGGCATTTCTGTGAACTCTGAGATTCCCAGGGTGCGGTGGGGGTAGTAATGGGTCAGCAACAAAGTTTGAATAATACCTGATATCGATCCTCCTGTGTGGGTATTCTTGTTCATCATTTTTACTGGGAAGCTGGCAGACACCCTAAAGCAGATATTTTAAAGAACATTTAAAGATGTTTTAAACTACTTAAGGCTTAAATTTAACCAAATGTGAAATATGCAGCTATTTGTCCTTTTAATAGCTACAGGTTCAGAATTCTGATCACTTTAACTTGCTAGGTTTTTGATGCACTAGATGCCATCACCGCCTAC